TCACAAGTTTAATTATTGATTGAATCAATGCAGGAGTTACAAGCAGAGTATAACAAGATATTTATTAAAAGTTACACATCATAAGTTATTGATCAAATAATAGTAGGTTGTTTAAGAATTAGCATGTCTTCCACTTGCTTAGGCAAGAAATACATGAAGAATTGACCAAACACTCTCATCATAACAAAGGTGGAATCGTAACGTAATGAGCTTTATCACACCAAACACAAAATTTACAGTATTGAGAATGTTCAGCTTTGACGGATTACACCTCCTCTACCGGTTCTAGCTTGCGTCGAGGAAGATCTTCCACACCAGAAGGAGATGGAGCCACTAGGAAGGAGAGCCGAAGGAGCCTTGTTGTTGGAGATAACGCGTATGCAGGTGAGGCAAGGATCATGAGCCCGATTGAGGAACCCTCTAAGGTTTTGGTCGTTGAAGCTCGCGATGGTTTTCCGTCGAGATACAATAAAAATGTGATTGACGCGTAGCGTTCCTACTTATGGCCATCGTATCCCAATCCGGCTCGTAAGAAGGAGAGAGAGTTAGTGATCGTCGATCCTCGCCTTGGGCAATTTGTAAGCAAAGCTGTGATCAATGACCAGATCCGTCATCTCAGATCTTGAGAAGCTTGTAGTGTGTGGAAAGTCAGGGGTGGAGGAGGTGGTCTACTGAGAGAGGCGGCCAAGAGGAGGGTTACTATGGAGATTCGTTGGGTGGGACTAAGGAAAGAGATAGCAGAGGGGCAGAGGCGGCTAGCCCTAAAGCAGATTGGTAGGTGTTAGAAGAAATTAGGGTCAGGAAAAAAAATCTGCGAATATTTATCTTCAAAGTGTTATTAGGAGAAGAATACCGGAGCGGAAAAAATTTTGAATTTGAATTCCAAATGCTCGACAAGTCCGAGGGTATTAGGATGAGGATGAGAGTATATAATAGAGCGCGGGAGAATATATATCAGAGTGGACTAGGGTAATCTTACCTCCCCTCAGGAGGATGAGACGAGACTGGCATTATGCATATATTAGAAAAAGGTAGGTAAGGCCTTTGGGGCACACGGAAGCTAAGGGGTTTCCTAATTTGTCGCTTAAAATCCTAGGGATAAAACAGAATTTATCTTCCATATCAAATCCGAGATCTCTATATTTACAATCCTACATTTTGAAGTTTCTATCATTCGACACTTCTATAGCTTTTTTCTTAGTATATTGTGTCTTTTGTCAATTTGGAAAATTCTTGGAATTCCAATCAAATTGATTCATTTGAAAAAGAGATTGGGGGGAGGGGAAGGGGCTGGCGGTTTGAGGGTGGGGAAAAGGGTGTGCATGGAGGGGAGGCCAGGCGGCTAAGAGGTTGGCCGGCAGGATTGGCACTCCCCTAAGGTGGCCGACGTGAGATGCACAGGAGCTCGGGTTGTAGGGGGAAAACGGTTGCGGGATTTGG